ATCTGAGCAACATGATTTCCTGCAACCCCATAGTAATGGGAGACTTCTACACCCCTCTGATAGAACTGGATAGATTCTTCAGGCAGAAAGTAAACACAGAAGCAATGGACTTAAACATGACTTAAGAACAAATAGGCTTAACAGACATATACAATATATATTTTTCTCATCATCCCATGAATCATTCTCCAAGATTGATCATATCTTAGGGCACGAATCAAATCTCAATGAATTTGAAAGAATAGAAATTATACCTTGCATCTTCTTGGACCATCATGGAATAAAATTTGAACTCAACTACAAGAAAAAATATTTATTCTCACACAAAGTGATGGACACTAAACAACCTTATGCTTAATGACACCAGGGTCAAGGAGGAGATAAAGAAGGAAATCATTAGATGTCTCAAACAAAATGACAATGAAGCCAGAAGCTATCAAAATCTGTGGGATACTGCGAAGGCAGTCCTCAGAAGCAAATTTATTGCATTAAATGCCCACATCCAAAAAACAGAAAGAGTGCAAATCAACAGCATAATAAACCATCTCAAACAATTGGGAAAGGAAAAGCAATCCAATTCTAAACCCATTAAAATAAATGAGCAAAATTTGATAAGAATTAAGTGAAATTGAGAACATAAGAACCATTCAGAAAATCAGCAAAACAAAAAGTTAGTCTTTTAAAATATTAACAAAATCAATAAATTCTTTTCCAGATTAACTGGAAACAGAAAAATAAGATCTCTAATAACCTCAACCAGAAACAAAAAAGGAAAATAACAACAGATACCACAGAGATACAAAATATCATCACTGTTTACTACAACATCTCTATCCCCAGAAATTTGAAAATGTGGACTTGGTGCCTGTAGCTCAGCAGCTAAGGCGCCAACCACATACACCAGAGCTGGTAGGTTTGAACCCAGCCCAGGCCTGCCAAACAACAATGACAACTACAACCAAAAAATAGCCAGGTGTTGTGGAGGGTGCCTGTAGTCCTAGCTACTTGGGAGGCTGAGGCAAGATAATCGCTTAAGCCCAACAGTTTGAGGTTGCTGTGAGCTGTGATGCCACAGCACTCTACCAAAGGCAACATAGTGAGTCTCTGTCACAAAAAAAAAGAAAAGAAAAGAAAAAGAAATTTGAAAATGTGGAGGAATGGATCAATACCTGGAATCACACCACCTCACTAAACTCAACCAGAAAGAATTAGAACTCTTGAAGAGACCAATATCATGCACCAAAATTGCAGCAGTGATAAAGAGCTTCCAACAAAGAAAAGTACTGAACTAGATGATTTAATACCAGAATTCTAGCAAACCTTCGAAGAAGAGCTTATACCTATTCCATAACATTGAGAAGGAAAGAACCTTCCCCAATTCCTTCTATGAAGCAAATGTCACCCTAATACCAAACCAGGAAGATTCATTAAAAAAACAAAACTAAAGATCAAAATCATTAACAAATATTGATATAAACACACTCAGTAAAATCCTAGAAAACAGAATTCAGCTACACATCAATAAAAATAATGCATCATGACCATGTGGACTTCATCCCAGGGATACAAGGCTGGTTTAGCACACACAAATCTACAAATGTAATTCACCACATAAATAAAAGCAAAACAAAGGCCATGTGATCTTCTTTATAGATTCAGAAAAAGCATTTGACAAAATTCAACATACTTTTATGATAGGAAAACTTAAGGAAATAGGCATTGTTGGGGCATTTTTTAAAATTAAAGAAGTCATCTACAGAAAACCCATAGCTAATATTATACTTCATGAAGTAAAACTGAAAGCATCTCTACTTAGAACTGGACCCAGACAATGATGTCCACTATTGCCACTACTGTTCAGTATAGTGCTGGAAGTTCTAGCCAGTGCAATCAGGCAAGAGAATGAGATCAAAGGTATTCAAATGGGGAAAGAGGAGGTCAAACTCTTGCTCTTTGCTGATGATATTATCTTATACTTAGAAAACCCCAGGGTTCAACCACAAGACTCCTGGAAGACATCAAGAAATACAGTAATGGGCTAGGTGCAGTGGCTCATGCTTGTAATCCTAGCACTCTGGGAGCATGAGGCAGGTGGATTGCCTGAGCTCAGGAGTTTGAAACCAGCCTGAGCAAGAGCAAGACTCCATCTCCAAAAGTAGCCAGGCGTCATGGCAAGGGTCTGTAGTCCCCACTACTTGGAAGGCTGAGGCAAGAAGATCTCTTGAGCTCAAGAGTTTGAGCTTGGTCTCGGCTCTGATGCCACAGCATTCCACCCAGATTGGCAAAATGAAACGGTCAAAAAAAAAAAAAAAAAAAAGAAATACAGTAAATCAATGTCCACAAATCAGTAGCCTTCATATACATCAATAACAGTCAAACTGAGAATTAAATCAAAGGTACAATATCCTTCACAGCTTCATAGAAAATTAAATACCTGAGAACATACCTAACAAAGAATGTGAAGAACCTCTACAGAGAGAACTTTGAAACCCTGAAAAAATAAATTGTAGAGGATGTTAACAAATGGAAGAACATACCATGCTCATGACTAGGTAGAATCAACATAAAAATGTCCATAATACCCTAATTAATCTACAGATTTAATGAAGTCCCCCCAGAAAGCCCAAATATCCAAGCCCAAATATCCAATACCATTTAATGAATGGAGCTAGAAGACCTGGTAGGAGACCTGGCTAGTCACATGTAGAAGACTGAAACTGGGCCTATGTCTCTCTCCACTGGCACAAATTGACTCATGTTGGATAAAAGATGTAAATTTAAGACACAAAATGATAAAAACTCTAAAGAAATTGTCACTAAAACGCTTGACAATATTGGCCTGGGAAAAGACTTTTTTAAGAAGACCCCACTGGCAATTGAAGCAACACCAAAAATAAATAAACGAGACATGATTAAGTGAAAAAGCTTCTGCACAGATAAGGACACAACAGCTAAAGCATACAGACAATCTTCAGAATGGGATAATATATCTGCATGCTATGAATCTGACTAAGGGCTGAAAACTAGAATCTGCAGAGAATACAAACTGATCAAGAAGAAATAAGAGCAAACAGTCCCATTTATCAGTGGTCAAAAGACATAAAGAGAACCTTCTCCCAAGAAGAGAGATGAATGGCCAACAAACACATGAAAAAATGTTCGTTGTTCTTAATCATTTGAAAAATGCAAAATTGGCTTGGTGCCTGCGGCTCAGGTGGCTAAGGTGCCAGCCACATACACCTAAGGTGGCGGGTTCAAATCCAGCCCGGGCCTGCCAAACAACAATGATGGCTGCAACCAAAAAATAGTCAGGCGTTGTGGCGGGCACCTGTAGTCCCAGCTACTTGGGAGGTGGAGGCAGGAGACTCGCTTGAGCCCAGGAGTTGGAGGTTGCTGTGAGCTGTGATGCCAGGGCACTCTACCCAGGGGGACAGCTTGACTGTGTCTCAAAAAAAAAAAAAAAAAAAGAAAAATGCAAATCAAAACCACCTTGAGATATCACCTACCCCTATGGAGAATAGCTGACATCACAAAGTCCCAAAGCTGTATATGGTGGCATGGGTGTGGAAGAAGGGAACACTTTTACACTGTTGGTGGGATTGCAAACTAATATATTCTCCTCTATGGAAAGAAGTATGGAGAATCCTCAAAGAGCTAAAAGTAGACCTTCCATTTGATACCACAATCCTATTACTAGGTGACTACCCAGAAGTTAAAAAAAAAATCATTTTGCTATAGGACATTTGCACTAGAATGTTTATCACAGCTCAATTAACAATCATCAAGATGTGGAACCAACCCAAGTTTAATAAACTTATATAAGCATATATACCATGGAATATTGTTCAGCCATAAAAAGATATAGATTATACCTGGATGGAACTGAAGAACATTCTCCTTAGTAAAGTATCACAAGTATGGAAAAGCAAGTATTCAATGTACTCAATATTAAGATGAAACTAATAGATGAACAACTACATGCCTACACCAGAGAAAAATACAATTAAACTGAAATGGGTTGAGGGGGGAACAAAGGGGGGTGTTGACAAGCTCTCACCTAATGGGCACAATGTAGGGGTATATGGCACAATTCTTGTGTGAAGGACTCAACTACAACTTGGACTTTACCTAACAAACACAAACAAATGTAACTTAATCATTTGTGCTCTCCTTCATGTTAATCTGAAATTTTAAAAAAGGTTTCTTTAGTATTGAGTCTTTTTTCTTTACCTAACATTTTTTACCTAACATCTACTTTTAATCATTATATTTGACCCTTTATATTAATAATTGCTTATGTTTTGGATTTAGCTGTTCTATTGTATTGTATCTTTTTTATCATTGCTTTTTTTGTTGTTCCCCTTTGCCTCCAATTTTTGTTCTGTTCAAACATTCCTTTCTTCTTTTAGATCAGTGGTTCTCAACCTGTGGGTTGTGACCCCTTTGGGGGTTGAATGACCCTTACACAGGGGTCACCTAAATACATCCTGCATATCAGATATTTACATTAAGATTCATTACAGTTATGAAGTAGCAATGAAAATAATTTTGGGGGGTCACCACAACATGAGGAACTGTATTAAAGAGTCACAGCATTAGGAAGGTTGAGAACCAATGTTTTAGATTATCTAAAATGTTAGTTTACTATTTTCTTTATCTTTTGGCTTTTTAACTATCTCCCTGGATTATATTTTTAGTGGTTGTTCTAGAGATTAAATATATATATAATTCCAAGTAAAATTATCCCTGCTTTATGTTACAGTTATCATATGTATTACATCTAAACTTTGATAACTCCGTCAGTGTTATGTTTTGTCTACTACACTCAAATTTTTTTTAAACTTAAGAAGAAAAAGCAGTCTTTTATATTTATTCAGACATCTGCCATTTATTTTTATATTGTGAATTTCCAAGTTTTCCTCTTTTACCATTTTACTTAACTTGGAAAAGCTTCCTTTAGCATTTATTTTGTCATAGACCTTCTTTATTTTTTTGATTCATTAATGTATTTGTAAGTACTATACACTCAGAGCTATACTTCATAAATAGTCACAAAGATTTCCATGCCTCAGTCTGCTTCTTGATATAGGTCCATTTCATTAACATAATAATACATCAGCATTTATTTTGCTGATTTAAGGTTTTCATCCAAAAGTTCAGCAATGGCTTCTTCATTTGCTGATTGGAGCAGTCTCTGAATTAGCTGATCCAGGCATTTTTCACCATATAAAAATTCCTCAATATCACGAACTTCATATGTTATTCTGTGGTCAGTGACTCTATCCTGTGTGAAATTGTATGTCCAGATTCTCTCTGACTGGGCTCTTGTTCCCACCTGCAGTTTCCTGGCACTTTGCTGTTGATGCTTGTCCTTCTCAATCATCTGCTGGTAGAGTCTAGCTCTCAACACACGCAAAGCTATTTCTTTATTTTTTATTTGTGACCGTTCTTGTTGACATTCTACTACTAGCCCTGTAGGGATATGGACAAGTCTGACAGCACTGTCTGTTGTATTAACATGCTGCCCTCCTGCTCCCTTTGCTCGAAATGTATCTATTCGCAAATCCTGGGGTCCAATTTCACATCTACCTCATCTGGTTGAGGAAGGACAATAACTGACATTGTTCTTGTGTGAATACGCTGCATCCTTGAGGACAGGCCCACCTCAGGGATTTGCTGAACTCGGTGAATCCCACCTTCATACTTCAAATGCTTATAGACATTGTCACCAGAAGTTTGAGCTGCTGCATGACGCGGTCCACCATAATCTGCTGGTGTATAATTCAGAAGTTCAAATTTCCAATGTTTGTAGCATGGATAATTCTGATAGATGTCAAATATTTCTCAGGTAAATTGTTAGCAGATATCACCTCCAGTAGTTCTTCCAGATATCACCTCTAAAATAACATCATTGTTGTCATATTTTTCTTTTGGCACTAGATTCTGGAAAAGCTCACTGTATATAATGTATTGATTTTTTGATCAATGGTTTGCCTTCCTTCTAGTGCAAGTTCTTGTAACTGCTTTTCATCTTGTTCATTCAGACTTTTAAACATTGATTCTAATTCTTCAATTGCTTGTTCAGCCTTCTGAATTTCTTGGTAAATGGCTGCAAGAGGTGCCAACTCAGCATGCCTTTGGTTCAAGGACTTTCACTTCTCTTCATTCACAGACTCATGCTGCAAACATTGTTCAACTGTTTTTTTTTTTTTTT